TTGATTTATACTACTACGTGCATAATCTATTTGCAGAGTATTCTTCAAAAAAAAAAAATTCTTAATTACAGATGTAAAAGAAGTATTTTTCATGACAATTTGAGCCATTTTTAATTCATTCACAGTAAGTAAAATGAACAATTCTAATACGATCTTGGAATACTATACTGATTGATTTATAATAGATAAATGGTTAAGATTTTAAATTAAAGATTTTGAGTTGAGTACTAAAACATAAATTCTTTAATTTTGCTATTCTAATTATTACGTAAAACTGAATTATCATTAATCAGCTGTTTCATTCTTTCAAGTTATAATAAGAGTGTTAGCATTTATCTAGACAAAATAATGTTTTACTTACTTATAACATTTCTCTTATGTTCTATTTACGTCACAGATCAATTAGTCGAATATTTATGACATATTACCAAAACTATAATCTTTAGATTATTTTTCTGTTTTCTACAATTTCATTATTAAGTGATATTTAAACAAGACTTTTAACCTATCATTAACAATTCGTTATTATGATATTCTATATACATATATAACATTTCTTCTCAATCTATTATACATTATTACAAAGAAAATCTTAAACTAGAACGATTTAGACATTCTTGAGATAAGTGTTGAAAGTTATATGTCAGAAGTATTACCAACAATGTTTTATTAGTCTTATTGGGTCGCAATCACTTTACCGAAAATAGCTTTGCCGACGCATCACTTTGCCGACACCACTTTGCCGACAAATTATTTTGCCGATATGTACACTTTGTCGACAATTTATTTCGCCGACAAAAAATTGAAGTCAATAATAAATTTAAATTTATTATAGATACAGTGATATATATGTCAGCGTTCATATTTGAATGCGTCCAATCTCGGATTGATCTAGGCCAATGTCACATTGGACGTACTATCTTCAGACGAATCTTAGAATGCCTAGGCTAGTCCGAGATTGGACGTATATGTGGGTATGAACGTGATATATATACATAAAGAGATAAAAGAATCCAGAATTCAAAATGTTATTGCTGACCGTGATAATAGATCAACTATGGATTTTCTTCGAGGCATTGCCCATAATCTTTCACTTTGAGTATTTGTAATTTTGATTAAAAGAATTTAAAAAGCTCAAGAAAATAAAGAATTTTCTAAAAAAAATTAATCAATTTTTATTAATATTAATCAATTTTGTCTGTAAAACAAGTTGTCGACAAAGTGTACATGTCGGCAAAACAATTTGTCGGCAAAGTGATACGGACCCGCCTTATTGTCAGTGGTTTTCTTCATTCTTTTTTTGACGTAGAATATTCTCGAATGATAGAATACATAACAGTAATTATTCATATTGTCTATTGTTTCATTTTTTATGTCAACATTTTTCTTAATTTTACTTCGGTACTATTCAGTACACATATTTTAAAAATACAAATTCGATTAGAAGTACGATGACGTAAAAAAGAAGAAGAAGAATAAGAACGTCGATGATGTGTTTCATATTCAAGTATAGTAGCAGACTTACTGCTGGGTATTGTTTGTAAAGGCTATAGAATATAGTCATATTTTCCAGTGGAAACGCGATTCAATCATGTAGAGAAAATCACAAAACATAATGATAATTACTGATTGGTAATTCAATGTCGATCGTCATTGCGCATTTATTGTCAATCATATTTATTGAGTCGTTAGGAACAAAAAAAAAAAAGAGCCAAAGAAAAAGGTAGATATTATTAGTAAATATTGACAATAGTTCATATCGTTAAGATCTTATTCACAATATCTGATTTCTATATAAGTTAAATTGTTTATTGATAGGTTATTACGTAGTACTACTTATTTCATCTATTGACAATAAGAAAACGAAGAAAAGTCATTTTCTTCAAGTATCAGTTTTATGTAAATGAATTGCTTGTATGAATACATCAGCACATAAGATTTTCCTAGTGATTGTCATCAATTTTTTTATGAAGTTTCTATCTCTATTCTTTGTTTTTGTCGTCATATACATATAAAAAAATATTTGTTGATTTGTTGTGACAAGATGCAAAGATAATATATTTATCGTGTAATAAGATGGTACTAATTGTTTTTTTTTTCTTCAATGCTTTTGGATATTATTTTCTTAGTCTAAATAAATGCATTTAACCTATTGAAGTTTCCATTAATAAGAAAGTCCATATAAAAGAACAATCATTAATGTAAGCATCACTTTTGTTTTTCTTTGTTCGAAAGCTTTTTACTTTTATTCGACAAGACACTGACTTGACGTGGGAGAGATCATAAATCACGCACAAAAAAGAAGAAGAAGAAGAAGAAGAAGAAGAACAAGGTATCTTGCGTGCACATAAAACTAAATACTTTAATGTAAAATATTATAGGATTTTTTTTTCAACGATGTCATTAACATCTTTTCTACCTCCTAGAGACATTGTCACCAGACATTCACACATAAATTTTCATCATTTATTAATACTTCATTGAATTGTGACCATCTTGTCATGTTCCAAAAAACGTATATGAAAGAAGTATGTGACTGCTTTTTTTCTAATAGAAAAATAAGATCCATAAATGATGCTTGTTATTCTTATTATTTCCTATTAGAAAGAATTGACAAGATCGTATTGGTTATGCATGTATTCGATCGAACTTATTATTTTGTTCATTATCATATACTCAAAGCAATCGTTATTGTTAAGTGAGTCTTTTATTTCCTATTTCTCTTCGTATTCTTTTCTTTTTCTTGTTGTTTTTTTTTTGTTCTTTTGATAATCCGAAAAGTTTATAAAATAGAAAAAGTTTCTTTTTTCTACGCATATGTTTATAATCGATCATCAATATTGTTAATGAAGAGATTGATAATCCAATCGAAAGATGATATATGTATATTGCAATGAAATATGTATTAGGTACAAATATCTTAATAATAAATTTTATTTACTATAACAATGATATCTTGAGAAAAGTTCTTATTATTTTATTCTTCATGTAAGTACGATGTGATATTGACTATTTCATAGAATATATTCTTGTATATGAAATTAGTAAGTAAGTACTATTGTTATGCATTTAGTAATGGTAAAGATATTGCAATTAACAAAAGAATAATTTATTAAAAGTATTCTAATAATAAACTTTTCAAGTTGTTCCTATTTATTTATCTTAATAAATAATTTCTTAATGGTATTTTTTCATTAGTTTATACATAGTTGTGATGGGTACATAAGTTAATGTGACACCGAAAGTTTTATTGATGAGAAAGAAAAAGACAATTTTGATAATCTGACAGTTCTGTTTCGATTGCTTCTCTGTGTTTTTTCTTTTCTTTTATTAGTCTTATTAGATGTGAAAATAATTTGATATAGTTATCTAGTATATTGAAATTTATTTTCTTCTTAGTTTTCAATAAAAACAAGAATGTGTTTCACACATTGTCTATCTAAATCGCTCGTTCTTATCATATTCCCATACATGATTATCTTTTGTTTTTGTGCTACTTGCTGTATAACCTATTTTGATTAATTGACAATTGGACCAGCGGAAATTTGTCCTTATACAGAATATGAAAATCATACGAGAACGTCTATATTATGAAAAAGAACAAATGGAAGAAAATAATACATATTGAAATGATAAAGAAAAGAACAACAAAATATGCTAACAAGCATTCTATGCAATCTGCGTATCTTATTAGCATATGTATGAAATAAATCATGCTTTATTTGTACATAGCACAGTCTTCATTCTTGGACACACGTATATTCTCTCTTTACTAATTGCTTGTTTTTGTTGGTGCATTGTCATGATGAACTCCCTAATTTTCGATAAATAAAAGAAGAAATTTTTTTAATATTCGTTCTTTAAGTTCATATTAATAATAAATCTTGTTAAGTGTAAATCATAAATATTTTACGGAAAGGAAATTTGTAATTATTCAAAGATCAATGTGTAATAGCTTTTTTTTTCTGTATAGATTCTGTCATCATGATATTTTTTTCTATTGACCGATGTAATTGAATCATGTTGATATTTAAATATATGCCAATAGAAAACCAAAGTAATCGAGTAGAAATAGCTCGATTGATTATTCAATCGAGAAAACGCTTGAATTAGAAAAAAAAACACGATATTTTCATACTTATTTCACCTTGAATAAAATAAGTATGAAAATTCTATTATTTATACATATAGATAGTCTACATAGAGATTTTAAAAATGTTCTTATCTTCTTTGTAAATCATTAAATTTTTATCTGTCTATAATTGACATGCAATGATACTCAATTTCTTCATTTTTTTTTCTTTATCTATATATGCAATAGAAAAGAAAAATTTCATTATTAAAGACTGATCTTCTCTTATTCCTTTTTAACGATAATCTTTTCTCATAAGTGATGAATATAGAAAAATAAAGTTCATCATTTTCTAATACATAGTTGTCGCCCGAGGAGACTAGTTTTGACGTCATATTTTACGAATAAGAGACAAATTCATACAACCGAGAAGAATATAATTATTTTCTAACTACCTTCCATGTTGTCTTAGTTAATCAAAAATAATAATACGAACAGGATATATATGAGAAAAAAGAAAAAAGTTTTATACACTTGTCTTGTTTCTTTTTTTTATTGCATCTTACATTACGTATAAATAAGCAAAGAAAAAATAGTGGTAATCAACCTTCAACAAAGTAAAAGGTTGTTCGACAACAAGACAAGTATATATATATATATATGTATATATATATATAGTTTTTTTGACGAACAAACCGATAGTGATATAAAATATCTTCTGTTATAGTGATGACATTAGTTAAAATGACAGTCAACCGGCGTATTGTTACTGTAACGATTGTTTGTTTCTTTATACTAACATATCTACGTATATAAATTATTTCCATATTTTCCCTGAAAGCTAAAGTAATAACGTAGTTATTTGTTTTCTTTATTTTAGACAAAGTAGACTTGAATACGTTGATGATTTTTATAATCAATTTAACAAATGTCAAATGCTAATTATACTAAAATTCTTTTATTTAAAAAAATGAATTCAACAAATCATTATATTAATACAAGTTTATTCGATAATGATTCCTTATTTAGTAATTATGAAAATCTACTACTTGTTGAACGTTTAACAATTTATATAACATTTATTGTATCTATTATTGGTATTATTGGTAATATAGGTACAATAATTGTATTAAATCAAAATTCAATGCGTCAATGGCGTTCATCTATGTTATTAACCGCATTAGCGGTTACAGATTTTGTCTATTTATCAATTATATTTTTATCAATTATTGATATATTAACACATCAAACTATTGGCCTTCATCGTTCATTAATACTTTGTCAAATAACTGTTTATATAACACATGTTTGTTCATTTTTATCCGCAGCTTTTACATTATCATTTACAGTACAACGTTTTGTTGCTGTTCTTTTTCCATTACATGCTTATACAATAATATCACATCGTTCATCAATTATAAATATATTATTACTTATATTTATTAGTTGTACTTTTTATTTATTTAGTTTTTTTGTAACAAATATATCCCATGGGCAATGTCGAGAAGATGAAAATTATCCAGCTTTATTCCCATTATTAATTGTTGATATATGTTTAACATTTGTTATACCATTTATATTTATTTTTCTTTTTAATTGTGCTATTGTTTATAAATTACATTCAAGAAAAAAATTTACAAATACTTTCGGTAAGATAACAAACATGAATAGAAATTATCTTTAACTAGTAGTTTCATGCTTATGAGTTTAATGGTATAGTTGTTTTTTCGTTATTTTGAACTGAATAGTTAATTCTAGAATAAAGATACATGAGAATAGGTTCTATCAAGATCTTAATTGAACTTTGAAAGAAAAATAAATCGAAACTTATAAAGTTTGTACACTAATAGTAATACTTTAGTACAATAAAAAATACACGTCGAGTTCTATTTGACTAAAAGTTAATGTTTTGAAAGAAAGTAAATTAATTGAAAGTAAGAAATAATCGTAAAGAATGTCAAATGAAACATTACTGTTTTCCTACTTTTACACAAACATCGTGCTACTGATCAATTATCAATGTTCCCACTTCATTACTCTTTTTGTCTAATAAATCATCGGGCAATTTCCAACATAAGTCTCCTAAATTATCTTTTACATATGGTACTCAATAGACACAAGATGACCTATTATTTTTCTATAGGCACCAAATGGATATTTGTATATAAAATATGACATTTATATTGTTTAAAATATAGCAATAGGAAAAGAATATTGTTCTGGTACGTGTTAGTGTTGTGACTAATTAATATTCGAAGGACTTATGTTTTCTAAATCAGGTCCAAACAAAATACGAATGATAAATGAAGAAAAAGAAGACGTGTGTATAGACTAAAAAATTTTCTTGATGTATTTATTATATTAATTAGAATAAGAAAAAATAATAATCACGTTTTTTATTTTTCAAGTCTAATTACATGATTAGTAATTCACAATGCAGTGCAAAGAAAAATTTAGCTAATTTATGATGAAAAAATATCGAATTATGTTCGATTAAAAGAATTTAATAGAGTTTGTAAACCGAAGAGATCCTTGTCATGCAGTAATTTTTTATGCTTGATGAAATAAGATGATGAAAAACGTTTGACAATAATTTATTTTTGATAGACTTTGACGAAGCTATTTTTTAACAACGTCATTTCAAAGTGAACAAATTGATGGATGGCTGCATTTTCTACGAACTTTCCTTAAAAGTTTAAAAGAATCACAAAAATCTTTAAAAATAAATCGACTAAAAATGGATTTTTCCGATACTTTTAACTTTTTAAGGAAAAGTCGTAGAAAATGTAGTGATCCCTTGTTATGTTCTCTTTAAAATGGCATTGGTTTTTTTAAAGAAATAGCTTCCGGAACTTGGAAACTAGTGTATCCTATTTTTTGAAAATCTTCATCATCATAGTTCATCTATGACTACATTAGATAGAAAACTCCGTTGGTGATTAAAATCCTTATCTGAATTAGAACAAATATACGCCGTCAATTATCTTTAGTCATACGTATGGTATTATTTATTTAGACTAACGAAAAAAAAAAATGTATTCTTTAATATGACGTCTTTTGTAGGCTTTGAATATAACAATAGATTATGAGTATTATCAAGAAAATAATATGAATAGTTACTTTAGCTTAAAATAAAGAACATCTTTTTATTCGATATAAAAGAAGTTCTTTGGTTGATATATTTCAAACGAAACTTCCTGAACTATTTATTCTATTAATTCTTGTTTAACTTAAAAGAGCATGTCTAATAGTTTCTTCTCTCATAGTCATGCTTTTGTTCGCTATTATCAATATTGATTAAAACACTAGTAATTAAGGTCGACAAGTCCTAAGAGCAAAGTCAGTTTCCGTTAGAACACAATTAATCATTGAACAACAAAATTAACAAATCTTTAAAAGATGTTTCATGGATTTGAAATGTTAATAATTCATTTTTTCTTGTATACATGTAGTTCTATTATTTTTTTTGCTTCACTCAGAAATAACTATTAATAAATTATATTCAGCATCTGTCGAAATATGAATGTTATAGAGTACATCAGAATGTGTAACGCAAATTTGAATAGAGTTTTTAAAAGACTCGAAAATAAGAAAAAGCTATTAGCACATAATCCTTGTAAGATTAACAAATATGAAATATAATATAGCTAATCATAGAAAGATTTTCGAGACAAATTTCTTTATCATCCTTTCACTTAGTCTAATCCTCAAGGAATACAATAAGGAAGTAGGTCATATATATAATAATAAGACGTTATTCATAAACAGTTTTTCATTGTATATCAACAATATCTATCATTGCCTGAGACGCGAGGGTAAGGAACGTGTTGATAAGCTGCCTGCATGATCTGTAACGATCTCTGATTAGTGTCTGTCATAGTCTATGATCATGTCTGGTTAACGTCTGTACCAATATTTGGGAAGAGCATGGGCCCGAGTCTTTTACTTCTATATTTGAAAATTTCATTTAGATCATGTTTCACAAAAATCGAAAATAATGAGAACAAAGAATATTTAACTTAAATTGAAGTTTCGTTCAGTTTAAGAATTTGTAGAATTCACGAGTATTCTCAATTGAAATCTAGTTTTGTCTTACCAAGCTCCAACCAAAAGAAAGGATAATTAAACTTATGTTTCTTTGTCTAAAAGTACGATTCTACTATACAAAGAAAAACAAAAATGCTTGTATTTAATTGCACAGTAAGCAGCTAATTTTAGCACAGTAAATAGTTTGAAAAGCTCAATAATTTATTTAAAAAAATTCAGTATTTAAGGGTGTTCGCCTTCCTAATGAGAAAAAAACGGTTTCGATTCGACTCTCAAAATATCACATACAACCAACCCTTTAAATTATCAAGTAGATACGAAAATTTTAAATATATTTCGAGAACGTCTATATCCACAAATTATTAATTTACTAAGCACATACAATAGTTACAGAACATTAAATTTTATACTGAATAATAAATTATCCTGAGCGTTTACAAACAATACTGAGCATTTAATTTGTTCTTAAAGAAAAGAAAAAAAACAATTTTTTTTATCCTGTTAAATAGTAGAAACAACGCCTAAAGGAAGTTGTCGACGACAAGCAACAGATGGTCTTAATGAAAGGCAACGATTGTATACATCGAATAGTCATACAACTAATAATGATTATATTCAATTTAAAATAAAAGGAAGAAAAATAATTAATTCTAAAATTACCACACCATGTATTGAATCAAATAGATCAGATCATGAATATTTAACACGTCATAATAATTGTCATGTATTAACAGCAAGATTTTCCTATGAATCAGTTTCACCAATAACTAATGGAATAAAACAACAACAACAAACAGTATCTCAACGAACAACAAAAATGCTTGTTATATGTTCAACAACATTTTTAATATTTAATTCACCTTATTGTGCAGTTTTATGTTATTCAATTATATCAAAAAATGTATTAACACGTACATTAGATATATTAAGACATTTTTATTTTATGTCATTTTGTTTAAATTTTTTTCTTTATTCATTATGTGGAAATCGTTTTCGTCATGAACTTATTTTATTATTAAGAAGATTTTATCGAAAATGTTTTACGAATATATTTCGTCAAGAGTGTTTACATTTTTATAAAATACCAAGAGAAACAAGTATTTCACGTACAACTGCTCGAACTATTGTTTAATTCGATATTTTTATTTTCTCTTCTTTGATTAGAAAAAGAAAAACGATGTTTTTTTTTGTCCTGTAAATAATAAAAATAATTAAGCACGAAATTTTCTATTTTGTCTGTATAATGAACGAATTCAAACATAATGAGATTGAATTTACGGATAACACTTTTGGTTTTTGACAAAAAAATATATGTATCATAAAATTGAAAGTAATACAATCACTTATTTTTTTTTTTAAATTGTATTTGAATAAAAGCAAACGTCAAGCACCAGACAGTTTCTATATCATTAGTTCTCCTACGACAAGAAATACAAATGTGCGTAATGTACGACCACTCGATTTTATGTATGTTTATTGTTTGTTCGGTTTTATTGGATTTAAAGTAGTATGATAATGATGAATTGATGATATATTATAATTTCTTTTAACCAACAAACATGCATTTTGGTTGATAATATACAGATTGAGACTGGTGACAGACATCATTGTATGTTTAATCGAAACAGCTTGATTATTTGCAAAGATAATATGTAATGATCTTGACAATATCAGACGTCAATCAATATGATATTGTCTTTACTATGTTTTACTTCTAGGCTTCTTAAGTTAGCTTTTGAAAAAAGATAACTATAAAGAAAAAGATACATTATTCGAGTTTTTTATGGAAACAAGTTATGTTCTAAGAACATAATTATTATCAGGAAATGATTCATCTTTCAAACTATCTTGCGTTCTAAATAGTTGAACTACGGAAGTCTAACATATCTCAAGAAGTTTTTTATGTTTGGATCTATTAAAAGAACTAACACCTTTTACTGCAAGCGGAGAAGACTAGAATAAAATTTTTCTCTTTGTAAAATAGCGAATTTTACTGTCGTCACTACTATGTGTTTTTTTTGTGATTATGAACGTTGATATAAGATACGATGCTTCTTTCATTCGATAAAAAAAAAAAAAAGGTCTGAATATCCTTCATTTTTATCATAGAAATTCATGTTATTTATTGAATATGTATTATAAAGATCATTATGAAAAAAAAAACCGAGTAGTAAAATGTAGCATAAAGCGACAGAGATGAAATTTGTACATATTTGAATTAGATTTTATGACTGCATGTAAGTTTTTCTGTAATTATTAGTTAAACAGTTTTCTTGCATTACTTGACATAGATTAATTATTACATGAGAAAATGTCATCTACTAAAAGTTTTTGACAAAATACACTTTATTATATGAGATGAATTATTTAAATTTTAGTTAACTCAAGTCTAGTTTTTGTATATCATTATTTATTTTTTTTCTCTTTTAAATTCATAGATAGTGAAAGTGTCTGAATTTTCAAATATAATAATTCACTTGATATGAATAATATTTATTTTCAAATCTCAAGTGTATTAGAAAGGCGTTAAATTAAAACATGAGTTTAATCAAAAGATATTTTTTACGGTGGGTGTGAATATTCATTTCTGCCACGCCCACTCACACTTATAGACACACCCGCTTGTAAATAAAATGTCCTGAAAGTAGGAGAACAAACTATCGTCATTCCGTTCTTGTGACATATGTTACTCTATGCTAAAATTTCAGTAAAAAAACTATAACTCTATAGTGAATGTGTATAAATCCTTATCATTTTAAAGTTTTTGATATCTAATTAATAATCTATTTTATGCATAGAGTTCGAACTCAAAAGTTATTTTCAGATTAAAAAGGTTCTCTCATTAATCATACATTTCTAGGGTCCAAAGTGAGTTTTCTTTCTTTCACTTTCAGTTATAGAAATCAAGCATTTTTATCGAGATAAAAACCAATATTTTAATAACAATAAGAAATACTATTCAAATATCTATCGACACAATAAATGAAAAAGAACAGTATTTTGATATTCTGAGTTTAAAAGAATCACATGAAATAGTTTTTTTTCTTCTCAATATGCCCAGTTGTCAACCAACTACTCTATGACACCATAAGAAAATAATATATAAGAAGGTCGTTACAACACGTATCTATAAGAGCCATGTGTGCACATTTGATCAACTAATCAAAGTAAATATGAATAAAATATGTGCAAAGTATAGAACAATATCAATTTAAACGATGGAAAACAATTTCGAACAACTTATTGGTGTACTTCCATTGTCTGCATCGTTTACTTTTGGTATTAGAGAAATAACAAATATTTTAGAAAAACAAAATATTGATTTATCATCATCATTTATTTTCGAATCATATCAATCATTACTTAGACTTGAATGTTGGGCATGGAAATTATTAAGCAAAGATTCATATCAATGGATAAATCAACCAAATTATTTAACTCTATTTTATACACTTGCTCTATTTAATAAAAATTTAATATTCAATTATAGTAATATTAAACATGAAATGAAAGCATCACTTCTTATACCTGATACAATTGATCAAATAAATGATATATTTGAACAAATAGAACGAGATAAAGATGATAATGATCCATATATTAGTATAGCTAGTCTTTGGTTTGATAATCTTGCATTATTTATTCATGAAAGTCCTGAATTTGATACATCGCCTATGATTTGTCATATTAATCAATATATGGGACAAAATTATCTTATGACTGAACAATTTATATTATATTTAGCTCAACTTCAAAAACCCAAACTACCACAATCAATATTTACTTCTAAACAATTATTTTATATAAAAACATGTTCATTTTCTTTAAGTTCATATTTAATGACAAAAGCACAAAATTTTCTTTTTACTGCAGAAGAAATTATGCATTATATTGGTAATGATTTTGTGCAAATTTTTGAAATTCATAGTCATATTATTGATATGTGGAGTGAACGATTTCTTACTTGTATTACACATTTAATAGGTTTCATTGCAGCATGTTGTTGGTGGGGTGGAGAAAAACTAAAACAAATAAATCGATTATTTCATTCTGAACAAGTTATTTATTCATATATTAATTCAATTATTCGAATAATTAGTTATAAACCATTTTATTCACATATAAAAGCTCAATCGTTAAATGATGAAACAAAATTAATTGATTTTTGTTTATTTTCTTTAAAAACTTTAGCACAAAATCAAGATTTAATCTGGTTTTTTCGTTCGAAAATTTCATTACCAGATACACTTTCAACAATAGCAGAATTATCAATTCATAATAAAATTTGTTTACGTGCATATATTGTTTTAGGTGAAATTCTATGTAATGAACGTTTAAAAGATTTAAAAATTGCTGATAATTTAAGTCTATTTTTCTATGATATGCTTGAACATGCTTGGCGAAATCCATTGAAAAATTATAAACAAATACCAATTTTTCATTTATTACGAGGTAAATTCATTATTTACTAACATCTAATTTAAATACATGATATATATCTATTTTATTTATAGGTTTTTTAACTTTATCAAAAATTGATGCTATTCAACAAAAAACAGCTGATTTACATAAAATGCCTCTTTTCATAGAAATGTGTGATGAATATCCAATAACATTTGATATTCTATGGGCTTTATCATTTAATTCAGATATTCAACATCAATTACGTTCTAATACAGCATTTATGTCTAAATTAATTCATTTAGCAAAACAATGTGATAATGAACAAATGAGAAAAATGACTCATGGTATTCTTTGGAATCTTGAATCAAGTCATCAAGATCGTACAATAACAGAATTTAGTGATGAAAAAACATTTGATATTATGATTAGTTATTCACATAAAGAAAAAGTTCTTTGTAAACAAATCTATGATGAATTGATTAAATCTGGTTATCGTGTATGGATTGATTTTGATCAAATGCATGGTAATGTTATGGATGCAATGGCACAAGCTATTGAAAGATCAACGACAATTATTATTTGTATGAGTGAACAATATCGAAGAAGTAATTATTGTCGTGCTGAAGCTCATTATGCATTTCAACGTCAACTTAAAATTGTTCCGATTCTTTTACAAAAACATTATAAACCTGATGGATGGCTTTTATTTCTTATTGGTCAATTACTTTATGTTGATTTTACTAAATATGAATTTCCACGAGCAATGAAATTATTAATGAAAGAACTTCAAGCTGATGTGATTACGGAAATTCATATTAAACGAAATCCTCCTTCTAGATCAAGTGCAGACTCTGTACTTTGTGACATAGAAGAAATACCATTAAAATCATCTTTATCATTGATATTTCCGAAAAATATTTTAGATTGGACTCAAACAAATGTACATGATTGGTTAATTCAACATGATCTTATTCAAATGTCTCAACTTCTTGCTGATTATGATGGTTCAAGTTTAATTTATTTGAGTGATTTTATTAAGAATGGTGAAACAAAACAAGTTTTAAGTCTTCTTCAAGAAGAATCACTTCGACGAACAAATGAATGTCTATCATTAGTCGAATTGTCTTACTTTCAATCTTTGATGGATCAACAAAGATGTATTCATAAAATGCCATCTTCTCGACGATCTTCAAGAAATACAAATCGAGAAAACAAATATATCTTATCTTGTTGTCAAATAATTTAATATATTTTTACATTGAACTTTTTTTTTTTTTACGGGAATATGTCTGTCAAATTAACTATATTTTTTCTGATATTTGTCTTAAGAAACTATATCTGTATTTATCCTCATTGGGTATTTGTTTAGCAAGTGTTTCACTATGTTTCAATTGTATCTTATGATGATATTAAAGTTTGAGTCACAACATTATAAAAAGTATTCCATTTTCTGATATATATTATATTCTGTCAGAAGAAGGAACACTTTTCTAATAGTGAGAAAAACCAACTTTAATGTTTCTGCATATTTCACTGTGAAATACCTAGTAAAGGAATACCGTTCATTGAAAATAGAAAATAAATTTCATTTAAACTAATTTCGATTGAAAAATGAACACAAACTATGTCACAGACGAATAGAAAATTTAGAAAATTTTTTATTATTTTTGTCTATTATTCATCATTGTTAAACTTCACGCCTATTTCACCATTATCAAATAAAATGTATCCCTACAGACGCTTTATTTCGCCCACACATAACTTGTAAATTGTATTGCTAAACACAATATGTACCACATATTTTTGCTTATTCTGTATGTAGAAAGACATTGTATTTGATATAATGTATGTCAACACATTCTTCTCCCATCTATCGACTTGCTTATTCCTGACTGGTGATATAAAAGGAACAGACAAGTCAAACAAACAATGTGTCATAGAAGAAGAAACGCAAAGATCATGTAAACGTTAATCCGAGGAAGTGAGTCACACGTAAACAATATTGATGGAAAAAACCGACTTTGAGCAATTGATAAATTCTCTTTCAATATCTCCTTTACCTAATGATATTTTTCAACAAATAACATATTATCTTCAACAACAAACAAATGATCTTTTACCTTCATTTGTTTCTCAATCATTTCAATCATTAATTAATCTTGAACATTGGGCATGGAAATTACTTAGTCATGATTTTCATCAATGGATAAATCAATCAAATTATCTTGAATTATTTCATAGTCTTGGATTATTTAATTTTATGTTAATATTTAATAAGAAACAAATTGAAACGAATACAAAATCATCACTTCTTATTCATGATAATATTCAATGGATTAATCAAATATTTGATCAAATTGAAAAAATTGAAAATCATAATGATCCATTTCTTGTTATTGTTAGTTGTTGGTTTGAAAATCTTTCATATTTAATTCATGAACATACACAATTTGAAACAGCACCTATTTTTATTCATATATGTCAACGTTTAGGACATGATTATCTTCTAACTGATCAATATAAATTTTATTTAACACAATTATGTCAATCAACAATTTCACAATCAATATTTACAGCTAAACAATTATTTTATATAAAAACATGTTCATTTTTATTTCGTATGTATATATGTGCAAAAGTTGATAAATCACCTTTTAAAGGTGATGAATTACTTAATCGTTTTGGTAAAGATTATTTACAAATAATTTTTATACATAGTCATACAGTTGATTCTTGGAGTCGACAATTATTAACTTGTATAACACATCTTATTGATTTTATGTGTGCATGTTGTTGGTGGGGAACTGAAAAAGCTTTATATATTGAAATACTTGTACCAAATGAACAAATTGTTTATGATCATATACAAGGACTTATTCGTATTGTTAGTTGTAAATCATTTCATGAACGTATAACATCACAATGGAATAATGATGAAACAATACTTATTGATTCAATATTTATTTTTTTTATGGGTGCTTTATTACAAATAAAAAATTTAAATTATTTTATTCGTTCAGAAACAATATTATCTCATGTAATTTTAGCAATAGCACAAAAATCATGTTATGATCGTATATCTGTAGGCGCATATGGAATTTTAGCTGAAATTTTATCTGATAAACAATTAAAAGAACTTAAAATTACAGATAATATATCAGAACTTTTCTTTCGTATTTTGGAACTTGCATTGAAACATCCAACAAAACGTTATAAACGTATAACAATTCCACAATTATTAACAGGTTATCTTATTATTATTCTTTTTCAGACATAAAATTAAATTTCTCACCTTTCTCAGAAGCTCTGAGAGTAATGGAAGTAACCTATTTTTCAGATATGAAATAACGTCTAAGTTTTCTCAAAAGTTTCAGTCACTCCATTGAAGTCCACCAGATCCAGATCATATCATTCTCAATGAAATTTTCTAATCGGCATTGGATAGTTGTTTGTAATACGCGAGATACTTTTTTTCCGGTTTTTGTATTCGGTGATTAGAACCTACCGGATCCAAAAATTCCATATTCGACTGGTTCCCAAGCTTAACCGATGGGCTCTACCCTTAGAACATGTAGTTATAATTCATGCGTACAAGATTTCTTTCGTAGAATATTAACATTGAAATGTTATATAATTTCTTCTTCATTAAATATGCAAAATTGAATCGATTTTTATTTCATAGGCTTTTTCACTTTATCAAAAAACGATGCAATTCAACAAACAACGGCTGATTCAAATAAAATTTCACTTTTAATAGAAATATCTGATGAATATCCAAAAACATTAGATATATTATGGAGTCTTTCATTTAATCAAGATATTCAACAACAATTATGTTCTAATCGTTCATTTATGAATAAATTAACTCGTTTAAAAGAAGAATGTAATGATGAAAAAATGCGTCGAATTATATTTGGTTTACTTTGGAATCTTGAATCAAGTCATCAAGATCGTATTATATCAGAAATTAGTGATGAAAAAACATTTGATATTATGATTAGTTATTCACATAAAGATGAAATTATTTGTAAAAAAATTTATGAAGAACTTATTAAATTTGGTTATCGTGTATGGATTGATTATGATCAAATACATGGAAATGTTATGGATGCAATGGCACAAGCTATTGAAAGATCACATACAGTTATTATTTGTATGAGCGAAAAATATCGAAAAAGTAATTATTGTCGTGCTGAAGCACATTATGCATTTCAACGTCAAGTTAAAATTGTTCCAATACTTTTACAAGAACAATATCAACCTGATGGATGGCTTTTATTTCTTATTGGTCAATTATTATATGTTGATTTTTCTAAATATGACTTTCCACGAGCAATGGAATTATTAATTGCAGAATTAAAAGCTCCTAGTACACAGGAAACTCAAATAGTACCTGTTCAATCTCAACAGGATAATTATTTTATACATCCATTAACATCGGAATTATTAAAACTTCCGGAAAATATTCTTAATTGGACACAAATAGATGTACAAAATTGGTTAATAGAATCGAATTTAAGACAAATGGCTCGTCTTCTAATTAATTTTGATGGACCAAGTTTGAATAGTTTATATGAATTAATAATACGAAGTGAACCTGAACAAATTTTGAAATTATTTCAAGATGATTGTTTACGAAATATTAATGAAAATATATCATTATTGGAATTAGCTCGATTTCGTACATTACTCAATGAACAACAAAGATTAATAACAAAAAGTTGTAATATATTAAATCTTGTATATTGTTGTCGTATGATGTAAACTTCTTTTTTTTTTCTCTAAATTTATCAATATATGTCTACACAAAGTAAATAAATCAATAAAAAAGAAGTTATTTTTTACTAAATTCGATTTTATTATTTGATCATTGAAAAAAAAAAATTTTTTTACTATAACGAAACAAAAATGCTAATGTGCATATCAGCATTAAATCATCGGACATATGTATAAAAAAAGCAATCAAAAAAATTTGGAATGTTCATAAAGATTAGATAAATAATCTATTTCAATATAACAAACAGAAGCTTTTCAAAATTTGAATACAATACAAAAGGAGATTCACACAATTAGATGGAATGTAAAATATTAGCAAATTTATTACATATATAGACATGTAATTAATTATTCTATGTAATAATAAACATCCAATGCCAATAAATAAGACTAATAAATAATACAATAGTCATAGCCGATATTTGTTTATTTGTACTTCCATTACAACCATCTTTATTGTCACATTGACAATACCACATTTTTGTTTTCCATGTACCTTTTAATCCAAGAAAAAAAAAATAATCATAAAAATAATTTTTAAAAATTCTTTAAATTACATACCGACACGTTCAATACAATCACGGCCTTGTTTTCGACTTACACGACCACGTACAGCACATCCACGCATATAATATCGTACACCATCACCAACTTAAAAAGAAACGATATATATGTATATATAGTAACCGTCAAAATGATTCAGTCAGTATATTATTTTATTTTGTATATATCTGAAAAAAAACTAAATAAGTTAGAATGATCTGATTATTTTATCGTAGCTTTCCTTTGAGCTAGAATTAAAAAATAATGTTGTTTTGACGTATATATATGGGCGTGAGCAACCGACTTGGTACCCCATTTTGATACAGTCCTATTGTAAGGATAAAACATACTATTGTTCGGGTCATATAAGAGAGGATCCTAGATAACCCTGGATTGGCCCGAACAACATCATGTTTTATCCGCACAATAGTTGTGAAAAGCTACGAGCTTACCGTATGAGTTGGTAGCTTTTCTCTANTGCCCAGAGATTCGCGAAGAGCGGAAGAGTGGAAGATTGTCAAGGGGGGACATATGTGTCCCACCGGGGCGCAAAGGGTAAAAAGAAGTTTTTCACAAACAATTTCTTGGTATAAAACCACGATTTTCAAGTAAAACTAGCATGCTCGATAATCTAAAACCCAATAGCTTTCACTAAAAACCCGATGGATCAGTCGAAAACATTGTCATTTGAGAATTCTGATTTTGGATAATTGATCTGAGATCATTCGCAAATTAGTTTTAGGAAGACAAATTTACCATACTGAGTTTAGTGATGATTCAGTTGCTTATGCTATATAATTATCAGTAAAACTTTCGAATTTGAAAAACCTTGATAGTCCTTTCAGATTGCTTGGAACCCGAAAGCAAATATTGTCACTAGACTCAGAATGGTAAGTTACCGATATTTAGATCACACTTCGGATGATTACAGATCAATTGCCTGAAATCAGAGATTTCAGAAAAACTTCTATAGATCGTAAACGAAGTGAGATCGATATGTCGGATTTGGATAGACTGAGCGAGTATCGAATGGCCCTATACTAAAAACTGAATGAAGCATATGTTGAGAATATTTTCTGAAGGAAATTTCAACCGATCAGTCAACAACTAAAATAATTTAACTTAATATGTTTCTATAGCCTCTCCTGATGTCCTCTTTTGAATGATAAAAATCTCAGATCTCTATTTTCTACCTAGCAAAATTTATTCGAAAAATAGGCATGACTATTATATAATTGAACAAACAGTAATTCCTTCTTCTGTTTCAGAAATAAAAAATGGAATTCTATTAGTCATTGTATCTTCACAAAAGTTTATGATTTTTTTTTTAATGCAGAGTTTAACAGCAATTCACTGACATTTTGAAATGTCAGTAAGAGTTTTTTATATTGACATGTAATAACACTTAGGTTAATTACTATAGACATATTTTGCACTTTCAAATGAAAGAAATTTTCATTGTTTTAAATTTACAGTAATTTCATAAAATGAAATTAAGAAATAGTTTTCTAACTTAAAGGAACATTTTTTTAGAGAACGACTCATGAGAAAACAAAAAACTTACAAAGCAGATAAATCTCGATATGAAGAATAAACGATATAATAAACTAAAAATTCTCAAATAGTTTCTTCAAGTCGATGCGCATTTCGTAAGAATCAATATTAATCGTTCTTATTCTTTCCATTTCACTTAAGCAATATGTACATTTGAGTTGAAACCTTTCTAATAGATACAACAAATACTTAAGGATTACTGTTTTTTTTTTTTGTTTCTTTCTATCACTTTCTCTTAAAATAAAACAGTCTTACTATGAAGAATACTCTAAAGCGCATAAATGTTTTTCAATAGTTTTATTTGTTAGACTTGCCAAACATCACTAGTACGAAATATTTTTATGTAAATAAATATAAACTAACCAGTCAAAACATTATCTCATACTTTTTTTTTCGATTTTTCTTTAACTTTAAAGTTATATTTAAATTCTCTACAATAGATAAAAAAAAAAAAAAACGTAAAACAGAACGAAAAATTAAACTTTTTCACATTGGAAATCTAAGGATTCTCTTAAAGTAAAAAAAATGGGAAAGTAAATTTTTTCCCGTCTCTTTTAAAAAAACACACATTTCATAATGAAATCAGCGTAATTTTCATCAAACCTTTCTCTTCATGCATTGAATAGAAGTTCACTGTGTTCCGACGTAAGTAAAGCATAAATTATGTAAGAAATTGAATAGATTAACTCTTATTATTTCTCACTATTAAATTTTAGCTATATTTGTGTTTAATTTCTTTTGCAATCTGAAAAATACGTATGCATAATTACTATTGACAAATAACTGTGAAATAGAAATTACATAGGTAATTATAGCGTTCTATTAGATTTATTCTTGTTATGAATTTATGCGTAGCTCATAAATGAAACAATATTAAGTTTTATTAACTTGACAGAATTATGGACATATTCTTAACCAAAACAATGAAAACATCTTACAAAAATAAATGGTGATTGATTCAAATTATGTAAAAATTCATCAAACTCGATAATCTTCCTTGAAAAAAAAAACAAATTTCTTTTTTCATCACTTGACACGCTGTATTAAAATTACACATCAAGAATTTACAAAGAACAGCTTATTTTATAATTGAACAATTTTGTTTTCAAAATAGACAAAAGTCTCAGCTACTAAGTTTTGATACTTCGACAGACAATCTCTGATTCCACAGAAACTATTTTAGATGTTCTGAAACTGCTCACACAAGTTGAAAATTCCGATTTATCATTTGTTGAACACTTCTATACATACAAACTAAGAAGTCCATCTTCAAACTTTCGAGTTACAAAAATGAATTAGAAGTTCATTGGACTTTTATTCTGTAAGGAATTTATTCCAAAATATGAATACTTTTACAAAATTTTGGAAATATAGAGAATGAAGTACTTTTATAATGGAGACTTTCTCTTTGGAATTAGAGTTAGAAATAGAACGAGACTAGTCGATCGATCTGAAATTCATTTCAGTACCGATTAGATCTCTGGTTTGGAGTTATGAATTATTTTGCTTTATTCATTTTTATCAGATAAAAAACCTTAGGCTGAATTTCGGTTATGACTTGATTGATTAGCAAGATTTGTTTCTCTATTGAAGTCTAAGACATTGTTTTGTGTGTTTCTCAAAACTAAAACATTACATTTTCGAATAGAAATATTTACTTACTGCTTAGATAAGTAAGAACCACATCTCTCCTATTGTTACATCACAAGTGTTCAAACAAAATCTAAAAATAATTAACAACAATATTTATTCTTTAAACGCAACAAATATATATAAAAGAGATCTTGTTTTATATTTATTCAAGCCACATCAATGAACACAAATATACATATATATATATATTGACTAAGATTACATGATCATAATATTACTTTATCAATTTTTTAACTCAAATATTTCAATGAAACTTTTCTATTGAATTTTGGTCACGTGTATAACTAATGATAAACGATATTAGTTAAAATAGATACATATAGAGTAAATTGGGGTAAATGTAGAAAAAAAATCAGATGGATTCAGTATATTAGCTATAAATTTTTTATTTTTCATTATTTCAAAATATTTTCTTCACAAGTCATCTAGGTAACTCTTTTCTCTATCGATTGATGAAATCAATTTTTCACAATCTTGTGAGCAGAGTTATCTACGAGGTTTTCTTTAGACGCTATTGTTCGATTATACAATTACCCCATATGGGATAAATGTATAATCGTCATTGCGCTTGTGGGATAAATGTAGAAACCCAGCTATTTTTGTTGGTATCAGTAAAACTAATTTTTTTAAAGATAGAAAAAAGATTTCAATGATATTTTTTTACAGAAATGTTCCTCATAAAAAACTACACGAAATCAAACCATTTCTTTATTCATTTCTCAACTAAATTTTCAATATAATAGAGATAGTACTCATAAAAATGGCAAAACAATGGAAAAGTCATTTTTTGATGAACAATATTTTTCAAAAATAATTCCATATTCGGAATCAGCATAAAATTCTGAGCAAAGTTATATATTTGTTTTTACTGGAAAATGACTTTTGTTTTTTACCATTTTTTTTGGTACCTGTATGGGACCTCAGGCTTGAGTGAAAAAATTTTTTTTTCAACTTTACTAAATTTATCATCATTTTACTTAGAATTTAACGCTGATTTCGAATATCATATCGTTTTTGTTTATAGATTAGTTTTCACTTATCAAAACTAGAAATTATAGTGGAGTTTGTATATTACTATTTAATATTTTCAATTTTTCCATTATTGTAGTAATTTTCAACTGATATGGTTATGATATTCGAAATCAGCGTTAAATTCTGAGTAAAATAATGATAAATTTAGTAAAGTTGAAAAAAAATTTTTTTTCAGTGTTTCTACATTTACCCCACAAGCGCAATGACGATTATACAATTACCGCACCTGGGGTAATCGTATACAAATTTTTCTTTCGGTGCTCTTTTTGTGAGCTGTATAAAAAAATTGAATTCGGGAACTACAATTTTGAGGATTAGTCCAGGTCGATAGAGAAGACTTTGAACTATCGATTGGTGAAAAAAATCAAAAAAAAAGTACCAGTCGCTCAAAAATTTAGCTTTACTGGTACCAGCAAAAGTAAATGGGATTATACATTTACCCCATATGGGGTAATTGTATAATCGAACAATAGCGTCTAAATAAAACCTCATAGATAACTCTGCTCACAAGATTGTGAAAAATAGATTTTATCAATCGATAGAGAAAAGAGTTACCTAGATGACTTGTGAAGAAAGTATTTTGAAATAATGAAAAATAAAAAATTTATACCTAATATGCTGAATCTGTCTGATTTTTTTTCTATATTTACCCCAACTTGCTCTATTTGAATAAATTGTGAACGTTGAAAATAATATGAGATCGTTAAATGAAATAAACTTTCACTGACTATATTTCATAGATAGAAAGAAAAAAGTATACCTCATATTATACAAAAACACTCGTCTACGTCGGTTAAAGGTAACAGATTGTATCACGATAGAAATAAGGTAGGTGTTTTTATTTTT